ACTGCTATCAGGGCTGTCTGCATCCCAGCTGATGTACTAAAATCTCGTCTACAAACTGCTCCAGAAGGCAAATACCCTGACGGAATACGAGGGGTGTTCAAAGAAGTTATGCGGGAAGAAGGACCGCGTGCTTTATTCAAGGTTAATTTGGGTTTTAATATGCAAGCGTATACCTGATTTGGAGTGTTTGCAATTACAAATCATTCGAATTTCTTTTTAGGGTTTCGTACCTGTAATGCTGCGTGCGTTCCCAGCTAATGCGGCCTGCTTCTTCGGTCTGGAGTTGACCTTAGCGCTATTCCGATACCTTGGAATAGGTCATAAACATCCTGAAATTGAAGCTCTTGAGCTAGTTCAGTAAGCTCGAATTGAATTATGGATAACTCTTGAAACGAGTCGAATGAGGCCTACAGCTCAGCAGCAAAATGATTACTTGTAAAATATATTACTAATGTTTTCAATAATTAGACTACTCACCTCTAATCTTGCCCAAATCCATTTCTCACATTTTTGTTCAATAGTTTATTTTCATCGCTATTGGTACCTCCTTCCTTTTCTATGTCTGTTTTTTCGAGTTTTATGCGTATTACGGATGTTACTTGACCATCGTTTAACTCTCCCACTGCCTTCCTCGTTTTGTTCATATTGGCAATACTATAATTATAACTTTTTAAGTTGTCTTACTCTTCTAATCACTTTTGTACATACTTAACTCATTAACGAAAAACTAAGCCCTTAGGTGGTAGTATAAATTTCATGCTTTTGGTCTTGAGGTCTAATTATATTTGCTGTTTTGGTTAGGGTGCATATTTGCGCGCATACGAGATTTGTTTCTATCATGCTTAATAAATTAACATCTTGTCATGTGAAGAGAGGGACTCTTGGAAAATAAAGTTTCTTGAGAGGATACCATCACTTTAGCTTTACAATTACCTTTGTTCAAAACGTATTCTTAGTTTCTCAAATCACAAAATCGTTGAATAGGTAAAAATATGAAAATGTTGGTAATTTAACAATACAATTT